TGGTCATTGCAGCTAGCACCGATATATCTGTTGCACAACATTCCGCAAGAGGACTATTTGCAATATATGCAGTTGGTGCAAGCGGTTCAATTAACGGGAGCTAACTCCATAACTCCAGCGAATGTACTCGAGGTCCGGCGGATCCTAGAGGAGTGGGTCACTTACTATGAAGAGCGCTTTTATCGATATGAATATGCACGTCTGAAAGTTTGTCTACCTGTCATTCATCAGATGCTTCATGTAGCGGATGCACTCACTTGGCTGGGACCAATGTATTCCTACTCACAATGGACAATGGAACGAGTATGCGGCATGGTGGCGTCTTCCGCACACAACAGGATCACCGCAAACCGCAATATGGAAATCAACATGCTGCTAAATGAACAACGTCATATGGTCCCTTATATCAGATATCGTCTTACTGGAATTGACAACGTCGAAGTCGATGTGGAGAATCTTCCGGACGCCGATGAGCATGGGAATCTCGCATTGCACGAATTTTTTGCACGTATCTTGAGGCTAAAAAATCAAGGATCCGAGACTGAACGGGATGCGCAGGGAGAATCGCAGTCACAGGAGCCGTACTCTTTTGTAGGGTATTCCAAGCTAGTCAAAACGAGCCCCCATACGAGTCGTCTGATGAATGACTTCGACAAGGATAAGGAATCGCATATAATTGATCTGGAACTACTTTCGCAGCACCCAGATATGCCCCGACGTTACTTCATGAAAAAGGGCGTCCACTTTGGACCCAACAGCGAAGCAGGTGAACTTTCCGGGCCCTTTACGGTCATAGGCAACGACATGAAGGCTCATAACTCAACGCGGAGTGCCTCACTCATACGATATGCTGCCAATTCATCACGACGCCAGCCCAGAACGCCGGAGGTGAGTCAGTTTGGCATTGTCAGATACTTTCTCGAGGCAGAAATAGGTGCAACTACACATAGGTTGGCGATGGTGAGAAACCTACCAGTGTGCATGGACGAAGGGTTAGTGTACTTTAGAAAGAAGCCTGGAGAGTGGGATGCTTATGGAACGTTGAGGCTTATCACCGTAGAGGCAGTCACGGAACTATGCGGTTTGATCAGGAAAAGACATTATCTCAATGAGGGAGGAGGAGGTAGAGCACTAGACGAAGACGCATACGAGGATAGGATGTATTTCACATGTAAGGGAGGCGTATTTACAATAGATGAATCATGATAGAATTGTGCACGTTCATGTGGTGGTAAACACACCACAGTGAATATATCAGTCAATTATGTGCACTAAAATACACTGCACCGAGATGCATGGTGACAAACACACCATTGAGACACCTTCGCGTGGTGATAAACACACCATGGTCGCCGAGGTTTCCCGCGGCGTTCCGGGCAATAAAACACACCACAGTGTGTGGTGACAAAGACACCACGTCTCCCACAGCTTGTGGGGATAATCGCACTACAGACTGTGGTGACAAATGCACCATTGTCTTCCTGATTTTCAGCAGTGTCTCGTACACTAATATACACCACTTCACATGGTGATAAAGACACTATAGATGGACCTTCGCGTGGTGACAAACGCACCACTGTGAATTGAGTGAACCGCAGTGTTCCGTGCACTGAAATACACCACTGTGCATGGTGAATATCACACCACAGCTGAATCATGATGTAGTGATAAACACACCATTGTAGATTCAGCTCACTGTAGTGTTCCGTGCACTGAAATACACCACCGCGTGTGGTGATAAACACACCATAGAACCATCGTCTCGTGGTGACAAACGCACCATTGTAAATGCAGTTCACTCTAGTGTTCTGTCCCCTAAAATACACCACCGCGTGTGGTGATAAACACACTATAGTAGCATCAACACGTGGTGATAAACACACTATGGTATTACTTGCTCACTGTAGTGTACAGTGCACTGAAATACACCGCGGTGTGTGGTGATAAAGCCACTACAGCCGCATGGTCTTGTGGTGATAAACACACCATGTCTACTCTAGGGCCTGTGGTGTATAGACACCACGTTTTCACGGGGACCTGTGGCGTAAATCACACCCCAGCTTCTGTATAGATCATGGTGTATTGTACCCTATAGCGTTATTCTGTGGTGTGGTGTCTATACACTACGACACCGAAGGCATTAGTGGTGAGAAAACCACCACAGACGCGTCCTTGCAGTGGTGCCAATTGCACTATACGAAATGTAGGATATTCCCTTGCAGATAACATGGTGTATTTCTCACTTTGTCAGGTCTGCACACTACATGCTGTTGACTATCGTGGTGCATTTTACGCTACAATTCAAAAGTGCACCGGGGCTACACACTATATGGTGTACGCACCCCATTTTAAACGCATACATGTAGTGAGTGCCACACCATAGAGAAAACCCACACCACAACATGAGTATTCAATAGTGTATTTCCCACTATACGAGCTTAGAAAGGGTGATAAATACACCACGGGGCAGGATTATGGTGAGATTGTCACTACAGGGACCAGTGATTACACTACTGTGTGGTGCGTTACACACTACCACCATACTAATGAATGTATCCTAGGGATTCTGCCTTCGTTGCACATCCTACATCACCGTGATCGATTGCAAGTTTACCTTTACCTTCTACGACCGCCGTGCTCGCCGAAATGTCTCCATCCATATTATCAATCTCCCTACCACGCCGTTTCCGCACCCACAAGCGCACCTCATTCCACGCCCGCGGAAATACGCCTTTGCTTACAGCACCGCGGCCACAGAAACGAACAGCTCACCACGCTAACCCCGCCGTCTCGGCGAAGCATATCCACCGATCGCGCCGCATACTTCTCCATCGGCGCAAGCGGAAGCGCCAAACATCTCTACAGGACTCCCACAACCTGTGCCACGCTTTCCACACGAGGAAGCGTCGAAGCCTAAGGCGCCACACCGGCGCGAAGTCGCAGTGAGCTGCGGAGGTCGCGGCTGCGCGCATACCCGGTAAACGACCCACCCAAACTCGGTGCAGCGCATTTATACTGTGGCGCACTGCTGACGCCTGAAGCTTAAGCGCGCGCAGACTGGCCAGTGGCACCGGTGGCGCCGGAGCGCGCAATTCCAACCAAGATGACGTCGATCATCGATGTTTTTAAGCACAGCAGCAACATTTAGGGCCTGTGTAACCCTCATGAGTCAAATGTGTGGACAACCGAGTGATACCCGGTGTAGAGGGGGTATCTACAACTGTGAACGCGGTGGAAATGACGGCTGGTATTCAGGATAAATGGAAAACAACGAGAAGCGGTTCGAAACCTGACCAGGTGTGGCGCTGGGAATCTGGGTCGGTGAGCGGGATAAGGCGCTTTTCGGCAACTGCGACCAATCTGCTAGCAGTGAACGCAGCTCTCTACCGCCTATATGAAGCCCGAAAAGTCCAGATATGCTCCTTGGAGGTGGTGCGCGAATAGAATTTCCAGCTCGCCTGCAAAATACACCAAGTCGATTGGATGTTTCATTAGTAAGCTGCGAAGCCGAGTGATTGCTGAAAGTGGCAGACAGACGTGATCAAGTCACCGGCGACATCGCATTGCGCAGATGCTGGGCCGCCTATATGAAGCATGCTTCCGCGTCGCTGTGCTCCGACGGTATATAGAATGTATGCGTTGAATTGGAACCGGAGAGACGTCAAGACCGATTGACAGCTGGTGCAGCGAACTTGCAGAATCGATGATCTTTTGTAACTCCCGTTCCAGTCATAAATATTGGCGCGCGAGCACCATCTAACTGACAGAATATAACTTATTCGAACAGACTAATCAATATTATCTGTTAAACCGCCGCAAATGTGCGCACCGCGCCACCATGTATTACAGGCATTTCACAACGTACTCTATATTTGCACCAGAGTTCGAACGCTGTACGTCTCAACCATTGGCCCCTCAGACCGCGTGTGCGAGTGCTACCACTACGGTGGGGTGTCGAATCCCGATGATTCTGCATCGTGGACACCGCATGAGGCAACGCAGCAAAGGTACTTCCGGTTCCTGGGCCCCGCCCGCAAGCCAAGAATGAAACTTTGGATCAATTCGTGATGTGTAGTTACGCCAGCAGAATACTTGCAGCTGGGGGAATTCGGGTTGGATGTGACGGCCCGCCGCCGTGAAGTCTGTTCTAGTTGGCCGGCAGTTAACTGTCGCCTGCGGAGTGACCAGTCACCCCATGGAATAACTGGCGTTCCCACCATCCGCCGGTCAACCAATTATTTCAGACTCCGTCCGCCAACCGTGGGGTGATCGAATTTTATGGATGATGAACTTGAGAGAAATGGTCTGTATAATTTCTATCTAAGCGTATAAACAACACTCGAGACCAGGAAGTCTGAGTACATTCTGTTGTGTCGTATCTAGAGATGATTATTCGGGATTGTCGTAGAGAGTCGCTACTCGATGTCCCCGAAAGTATTGAAGATGGTGTCCAGGTGATTTTAATGATACTGATAACCTATTCTTCAAATTTAGCCACGAAGTGAGTAAGTCCAGCCGTGCTGTTTTGACGCTTTAAAGTGATGAACCGCACAGTTTGTTTAATCTGCAAGCAACTCCTATCAGACGCAAGACCGGATGTTTTAGATAAAGGTTCGGAATTCAAAGCGCCACCCTAATTTTGAAAGTTTCATACAGATGCCGGCCATGAAAATGCAGTGTACATGGTGCTGTCGCCGCTTTAATGTGTTTCGGATAACTGACTAACTCGCGCAAACTGACTGGGTAACTCGCAGGATGACTGGGTGACCGGCGGACAAGTCTCTCTCCGCTGGCTAACTGGGTGAACCGCGTGTGCTAGCCAACTCCGCTGACCACCCAGTGGCCCCATGCGCTAAGCGTCTTCTTGGAATAACTGGTTGGCCGGCGGAAACCTGTGAACTGGGTAGTCCGCGGGCGAGTATGATCCGCCGGCCAACTGGAAAAAAGTTCACAGTGTAGCTTGCCCCCACGATCCTGAACCGAATCAAAAATATATGCTACTCTCTGGCGGGGAATTGAACCCCGGTCACCCGCGGACAGTCGGTTTAATGACAGGCGGGTATACTAACCACTATACTACCAAAGAAGCGATGATGTTCCGACAACTAGTACGACCTTGGACCTGGCTACGGGGTGCGATGCTGCGGGTTCAGTACCCAAGTTTGCAACGCGTAGACCGTTTCAGCGCGCAGTTACAGATTTGAATGCAGAAAGGGATGGAGGAGAGTGCGGCGAGCGGGGATCGTGAATTCGTCATGACCAAGCGTAACAAGACGGCGGTATTTGTCAGCTGCTGGGCGATGACGGACGCAGCACAGGCCGTTCATCCAACGGCTGACGGCGGCGGGTACAATGTAGATGGAGACTAAAAGCAAGTTACGTGCGCACGTATGCGCCACAGCGGCCTCAACGCTTTGGGTGCTGTGGATCGAAGCTGGTACTGCCCACTGCACATAGGGATCCGCACAGTGCACCCAAAACTATATGGCGCCATCGTGCCTGCCGTCACATTTCATTCTATCTCGTATACGTTTACGTGATTGCGGCCCTAGCTGTTTTCACCCTTCCGAGAGACGCCGCCTTGCAGGAAGCGCCACTGCGCGTTCCGTTGCATCGCCTACGCGGCGCGCAAGAGCGGTCTCCGCAGGTTGGCGGGCATGTAGGCGCACGTCGTGAGCGGCTCGTTCGTGTCCGGCTGAGAGCGCCGCCAGGTCTCGCGGTTGCTGCATGGGCATGAAGAAGCGCATGGAGTTCTGACGATGGGAATTGCGATGGAGAAGCTGGGGGTTGCGGCATTGGACTCGGGGTCGAGGGCGGCGCAGGAGCAAGACGCGGGCAGCGGTGGGTGCGGCGGATCCGGGCGGAGTGGAAGAAATATCACCGAAACTACGATATCGAGACGTGTCTTATGGATTCCGCGAGAGGAGGCTCGGCACGGGAAAGCGGTGGCGGTGGCGGAGATTATGTGCGCTGGTGTCGTCGTGGCAATGGATAGATGGACGGGCCACCGTCCTGTTACAACACATTGATCATGAATACAATGCAAGCAGCGTATTGGACTAGGGAACAATATCATTAAAGCGTAATCATCACAAGTGTCTGGAAAACGCTGGAAACCCCTAGAACCGACAGGAAACACCTTGAACGCACTGGAAACAACGGCTTTGAACCGGAGCCAGCGGAATCTGTGTGACCGTTTCTGGAAGCCGCTGGAAGCCGCTGGAGCCGACAAGAATCACCTTGAGCGAACTGGAAACAACAGTTAGCTTTCGGCCTGTGCTTGTAGACTAATGCCATAAAAGCCTGGTTAATACACCGCGGGAATTCCATTCTTCACTGCCTAGTTCTCACGATCCCGAGTCAAAAGCAGCTTGTCGACTCTCGAGGCTTCGGCAACCACATGATGAACATTGTTCCAACGAAACCTTTCAACCGACAAGTCTCGTGTGTTAATCCTGTCGCCAACTGCCGTGCATATTGTGCAATTGTCGCTGAGTTCCGGCTCGGTGAGTGTCCTCCATTTCTACCCTGAGAGTCACACGTCCATACACCGTTCCATCTTGCAACATCAAGGTGAAAGAATAAAGAGCTTGCGCGAGTATGCAAGCACCTCTGCTATCGTCACTGCGTTTCAGCAACCACCACACACCCTCACGCCACCCAAGATTAACACACACACACCGCAGTTCAAGAAGCATCCCGCATTTATTTTCCTGTACTTGACAATGCGTACTCAGACCGCTAACTGTTCATACTTCGCCCTGCCCCTCCCTCTCGCTCTCGCAAACCTTGAGTAACCCATTGCCGCCCCCAACGTTTCCAAGATATTTGTATTCAGCTAACGGCTGCAGGCACGTCCTCACCTCCACCGGCAGTGAGAGCAACAGCAAAACGCCCTCATTAGTGTCAAAAAACCCCTCTGTCTCGACCTTGACGGGTGCCACATCGTCTGGTACCGCTCCTGCTATCGTGTCTGACAAAAACTTGTCCCAAGCAGTTTTCGTGCGTGGCATTGAAGGCCCGCAGGGAGGGTCCCAAACGTGTACCGAAATCAGGGCCCGCACGCCGCCGGCCCCCTCGGGGAGAACAAAATTAACAGATGGACTCGTGCCAAGAGAACACAACGTAATACTCCCGCCCACAAAGCAGCCGGTAAGCTCCACAGACCCCAGTGCTGAAATCTCGCCTTGTGCCTGCAGGATCGCGTGGAGCTGTGCGACCGTCACGCGGCGCCCACCGACAGCTTCGAGCACGTTTGCCATCGCCCCGCTCAAGCCATTACCGTCTGTGTTATTGTGTGGTGAAATCGACAGAACTTCCGGAGGCGCCCCGTGAATAAGTGTTGGGCAGTGGGGGTCGGCTCGGTTGCGGCCATCGGCGGGGTTGTAGCAGTCCACCACCACTAGAATGTCGGCTGAGTCTGGCTGCCAGTAGGCGAAGTCCCCAGACTCTAGATCTGCGCTGTAGTTCTGCTGTTAGAAGGGCAAGACTGAGGGAGAGTATCTTACGTCCAAAACTCCACAGCGGCCGGGTGGCCTGTGTACACAATCACCAGAAGCTCTTCCTCAATCTTTTCGGGCAGCAACCATTCAAAGCCATCCTGGGACTTCATGTTATCGAAAAACGTCTTCATATGACGTGTGACCAAGCTTTTGGCGGCGTTCACGGAGCTGGTGCTTGGGATTGTGTGGGATTGCACGGCGTACCCGTACACTGTCTCAAAGACGCCCTTCAGCCTTTCAGATCCCGCTGGCTTGGGATGATTGCCGCAATGGAAGAAGATAGCGGTAGCTCGTGTGTAGGGCTTGTCGTAGAGGTTTTTGGCAGGGCGGGGATAGGATCTGTGGACGGCCTCACTGAGTTCTCTCTGTAGGTAATCGAGTGGTCGTGGTTTGAAGCTGGCCATTGGGGCGGAGGGAGCGAGAACGGCGGACGTAAAACTGCTGATGGCACAGAAACAAATCGGGACGGCAATGAGAGGTCTGTGTGGTTGTATGTCGAGTGGTTGGAGGGAAGCAAGCGAGGCGGTCAATTTATGGGACCTGGAATCGGGGTTAGGGGTACCCGGTTTCGGTCAAAATCCAGCGGCCCAATACGGTCGTCCATAACAGAATTCACTTCTGCTCTGGCCCGACCGCGTCTGGCACTCCTGCTCCGTGAAACGAATCCTGCCCGGAACGAGATCTCGCTAGCCTCGGCGTTGGTCTCTGCACGATCGGCGGAGGTCAATCGGCCTCGCCTTCTCGTTATCCGCCGTTGTTCCCATCCATGCCCGTCTCCGCGTCTCCGCCGCCCGCGCCGGCCCGCAGCGGCATCATTCCCTTGGTCACTTATAACACGCTGGTTGCTGGAACGCGGTGCCGTTGCCGTCGCTCCTTCCGGCCGTCGGGCGGCGCACAGTGGGTGTGTGATTTACGGCACTCTTGTGCCGGCTCCATGACACTCAGGGTTAAATTACGGCGGCTATCGTGGACGCTGGTCAGCAGCGCTCACACCATATTTCTCCAGGCGTCTGGGTACGAAAGATCGCGCCCGGTAATTGACAGTAGATGAGATAGTCAGGTTCAATGCGAAGGCGCGAAGGAAGGCTCGGCGGAGTGTGCGAGTGAGCGACTGTGTCGTACCCCCGCTTCCCTCAAAACCAGGCCATCATCGCCGCGTGCGGCCAATTTCACCAACCGCGATTGATGACCGACTGGATGTAATGTTTCACGTGCGCGCGGTGGTAATGTGGAATGGAGATGCAACTCTCGAAACGTTACCCGCTGCGCGCCGAGGCCTAGCTGCGCTCTGCGGATGGTTGTTGAAGCGTATTGCAAGCGCTGGGCGAAGCCCATCGAAGGACGAGATATCAGCGAAGCTGGTAGGGGGCCCGGGCGATGACGCGATAGCAGAGTTACTTTTTGAAGCCGGAAGGAGGCGAGTGAGCGCACCGACGCCTCCCCTAGTTGAAAGACAACTGCGCTGTATTTTTAAGCTAGCATAGTAGTAGATTCGAGTGGACCAACAACTGACACACTGGCGTAATCATCGACCGATGCATACCTGGCCACAATCAGGTACGCAGCGCCGCTGCTGTCGGAGAGAACTGTCAGAAACCATCAAGATCTGAAGCAACCGCCCAAATATCAACAGCGGGTACGATGCGTGGTCTTTTGCTAAGCGTACGAAGTATGACTTTGTGCGGTGTCGCTTTAGCTGTGAGCAGACGACAAGAGGGATTCCTGGAGATCTGAGCTCAAACCCCGACTGATACCGACTGCAGAATGACGATTGCTGTGATCCACTACTTGTGTGATGGAAGAAGCTAAGCTCATACGGTTTCACATGTCTGGCGCCAATCCCTTTGAAATTCCGTCTTCAATCTCGTCAGGCGCAGGTTCCATGCGTTTGTGGAGGGCGGCCTTGAATGGCGCGACGTCCCAAGGACAACAAGTGTGTGAAAGACCCCTCTGCAGTGCATGGCAGAGGAGGTGGAGAGAGCGCCCGGGTAATCACAGAACCGGAGAGCGCCAGATCGCGGGATGGCGGTGACAGGTCAGAGCTGTTGTACATTTGCCAGCGGCCGCAAAATGCAGAAGTTGGTGTTGTACGACTCGCCTATAGAGCTTGGCTTGTCATGAGCGGAAACATCCTTCGCACGAAAAAATTGCAGGATCTTCACGGAGTGTGCTTGGATGTTTGTGGTCACGTGAACGATGCTGCGCAGTATCACTCCGTGTGCGCTGAAGCGTTCGTGACTTTGATTGTGGCATTGGCTTCTGCTACTTATTTTCCCGGTCTACACCTATTTTCAAGCGTGTTCCTGAAGCGTGGAAGTTTTCGCGCAACGCAGCATAATACTGTGGCCGTTTGTACCGGCGCTTCGTTTTCAACAACACCTTTACAAGCAGCATTACTCTGGCTTCATTTTACGCCAACGATAGCTTTGTGATAGAACAAAAACTGCGTGTTAATTGATCCATGAGGTGGAGGGGACCCTGCAATCATGGCGAAAGAAGGAGAAATGAGAGGTGTTCCCCCATGCCCAGTCTGTCCGTGGATCCACAACTGTACTGGGTTGTACGTTGCGGATGAGACTCCACC